TCAGTATTTTTATGGACATTACCAAAAGACGCGACAGGGATGTGAGCTTGAAGTTTTGGAACCCAATCTTTACGGAAATCAGTCCAGTGGGAAGCAATGAAGGAAACGAAAGTTGAATTATCAGAGAGGTTTTCTATATTAAAAGGTTGCCTTGCTAACCAATCTATTGGATCTTCTCGAATGTAACTTGTAGGTACATTCGAATCTTCAGTGTATGAAGATAGAAAATCAAATCTTTCCATCATATAATAACACCATGGACAGTTAGCAGGTGGTTCATTTGTAAATCGTATAAACTTTTGACCATCCCAAGATTTTACATTAGGCAGTTTTAATTGATCTACACAAAATAAGGCATCAGCCGTTTTAAGATCATCAGGTGTTAAATCGTCTAAATCAGTCATATTCCAAATACATGGCATATCACAATTCGTTAAGGTTCCATCATGGTTATATTTGAGGTGTTTCACATCCATCCGACCATACTGTTTGGCAGATATTAAGTATACTTTCACCTTTTGATTTTTATTTAAATAGTTTGTTAAGTAATGCCTTCTTTTCCATTCTATAAGACTTGTAGGCTTTATTTTAAGCTCATTTATTAGTGTTAAATTTGTTGTGAGATTTGTTTTAACCATGGTTTCAACCATTGTTACAACCATTGGTCTGTTGTTGTTCTTTAAAGCTGATATAACGAACAATATAATCACGAACCAGAGTACCCGTATCATAGAATTTACAAAAAACATTAGGTTTATTACGAAAGAAATTATGTCAATGCGATGTGTATTTTATGAAATGAATATTTATTAAGTAAATTAGATGTGGGTATTTATATAATTAAAAACTGCATGAATAAATTTACATGTAATTGCAGAAACCTTTATGTATCATCTGCATGTAAATTAACGGAAACAAATAAAGATAATTTCGATTAATTGAAAAGTAGACTATTGAGAGAGAATCTAAAGAAATATATCAATTTGTAATTTAAATACAGTAAGACCTCACAATTGTATGAAATAGCTTAGGCAACTTTCATAAGAACACTTTATATTTTTGCTTTCTATAAATGAGTACGTTACTTACGATTATTTATTATTAGTTAATAGTAACGTTAGGACTCTGGACTCTGAGCTATACATAGATAGGTTAGATCTAAGTTTGCTTGCAAGTTTGGAATGCAAGATCAGGTATAACGTTACACGATCAAAACAAGTGTTCTTTTTGCCAAAAATCTGCATAAGGAAATAATCTTTCGTGCTTTAATATAAGGTTTTCTTGAACAATTTTGCTATATATTTTGCTAATATCTATACTTAATACAAATGTCAACCTAAACATTAACGAACTTTAAAGAATTTTGCGCATTTCAGATGTGTGATCAACATGTATAACCTGTCACACATTCCGGTCTTGCAGTTTGTTTATTTTCATGCCTAATTTGGTTATTTATGACCAAAATTCAGAAAATTTATTATGCAAAAAATGCATGTTTATTGAATTCTCTTTTTAATATCCTCTAACCGATTTATAAATAACTTTTGCCCCAAAAAAATCAAATGAAATCGATTTTATTTGTCGAAAAATTGATGATGTTCAAAAATCATTCCCCTATTACTATTTAATATTCTTTAATTTAATAGAGATAAATTGTTTCAAGGCAGGTGTAACGTAAAGTCAAGTTTTTTTCAAAAA